CCCAAACGGTGGCCAAACCTTACCCTAGCCCCACCAAAAACCGACCGGCTGCCACCCAAAACCCCCGCAATTGGCCGGTCGAAACCAAAAGCAACCCCCAAAATCACCCCTGACCAGAATCCCACCCTCGAAAACCACCACAACCACCACCATAAAAACCCAACCCAGCCGCCAAAACCCCCCTTTTAACCGCAGAAAACCCCCTTTAACCGCCGAAAACCACCGTAAAACCCCGAAACTCTTACCCAAATTCAACCTCAAGCCATCCCTTAAAGAAATTGATTCATTGATTTTTTTTTTAATTCATTGATATTAAGGGGTTCAATGGTTTTCGTGGGTGTGAGTTTTGTAGGTAAGGGTGGGAATGGGTGGCTGTGGGGATGGGGGTTCGGCGGTGGAGGAGGGGCTGTCGGAGTTTGTTAGGGCTGGCTGGGTTTTCAAAAAGAAAAAATTAGTTTTTTTTTTAAAAAAAAAAATTATTTACCAATTATTTAGTGACACATGTCACTCAAATTAAAAAAAAAAGTTTACCCAATGTTCAGGTTACCGGTCATAAGGGACCAATAGAAGATGATCCCCTACAAAGGTGGGATTATTAAATAATAATCTAAAGGTGGGATTATTAATAACAAACTGGTTAAATGTGGGATTATTAGAATCAATTTGTATGCATTAATAATAAATATTAATTTATTAATAGCTTACAATAAAAAAGAAAAAAAAAATGAGTCATGGTCCCTAATCTTTTGCTGACTAGGCTAGGTCCCTCAACTTTTTGGTCATAAACACCAATAGTGGTGGTTGAGGGACCAAAAGTGCACAAATGAAAATTGAGGGACTAAAAGTGCACAAATACGAAAGTTTAGGGACCATATTTGTGCTTTACTCGCTCTGGCTTCAACCAAAATGTTATACAAAGAGTAAAAAGAAAGAAAGAATTAAAAAAAGTTTTCCAAATACGTAGATTCTTCTGTATCTCCTTTGCTTCTACTTTTACCCACTACTTTCCTTTCCCGCCTTTAATGCTTTTACCACCCCCTTCATTAAAAATATCAAAATACCCGTCAACTCCTCGGATTTTTTTTTTAATTTACAACAAATAATTTTCCAGGGTCATTTCCGTCATTTCACACAAGCAATAACAAACGCAGCCGCAATCAAACAACAACCGACGTCTGCCACGTCAGTACCTACCAAATGGGCTCACACTGCAACTGCTATAGGTACGGGCATTTTTAGTCACAGCCTGGTTGTTTATTTGGGCCTGTCAGCTAAGGGGTTGTCACAGGATGGTGAGGTTAGAGTGAATAAGTGAGATATAAATGGTGTGGAGATGACCTGGGAAATATCGTTGTCAGTAATGAGAGAATTAAGATTAAAAAAAAAGAAAAGAAAAGAAAAGGGATTTTTTTGGACCCACACAACTCTAGTCCCGCGTAAATTGCCTGTGCCTACTCACCCCTCCTTTCTACCTTTCACGCGCTTTTTTCTTATCTCTCGTCTATTTACTTATCCTCCGATTTCCCTGGTTTCAAAAAAACAAAAAAAAAAAAAAAAAATCCTCCGATTTCCATATTCTTGAAAATTACACTTTTAAATTATTTTGGGGTAATCTAATAATACTCCGTATTGAGTTTATCTCAATTACAATTATTCCACAACTTATTAAAAATAAATTACACTTTCACAATCATTACCTCAGTTACAATCCTAACCACCAAGAACTGATCTCCGAATCCAGATTACCCTAAAGGGTGAACCGGGTAGAACACTAGAAAAAGGAAAAAAAAAATTATCTCAATTACAATTTCACAACTTATTAAAATAATAAGATTACAATTTCACAATCACTATCTCAATTACAATTTCACAACTTATTAAAAAATAAAATTACAATTTCACAATCATTATCTCAAATACAATTTCACAATCATAATTGTATGATGTATCCATTTTTATTTATTTTCTTTACATATTTAAAGTATGTTTATTTACTTAATTAATGTATAACTTTCAAACTTTTAAGATCTTATGTACTTCCTCAGTTTCTATATAGTTGCAACATTTTCCTAAAATAAAATGTCACAACATTTGCAACGTATTATAAAAGAAAGGTTTTTATGGTGAAAAATATACTATTACCTTTTTATAAAGCATATATGGTCCACTTAATTATATTGTTAACAACCTTTTAATCTCTATTAAAAAAAAAAAACCTTTTAATCTCATTTTAACTGTATTATATCATGTGAGGTCCACTAAAAAAAAATGGATGAAGTACTAGTTACTCTTATAATTTAATTTATATTACACTTATGGCTTGAAATAAATCCTCAAGTTTGATTTTTGTACTTGCATCATTTTATAAAATAACTTATTGGGTGGTGGTGGTGTAGTGGTAATTGAGACTGCATTTGGTAGTGAAAATCTCGTGTTCGATCCCTCGCAACAACAGTTGGGAGGAGAATGGAAACTAGCCATCCAAAACCGATCATCAAGTCCGGATTAGCCCAAATGGTAAATCGAGTTTAGCCTAACCACCTAGAACTTGACTTTTATACTCGTACCATATATATAATCACATACACCACTTTTAAAACTTCATTTGTGTTTTGTACTCTGTATAAGCCAACGGTTATGATCGATCACTCCACCTGATTTTTGTTAAACTAAAATAATTCTATTGAATTGAAATCATATTCAATGAACTGAAATTATCTCCACCTGATTTTTGTTAAACTGAAATAATTCTATTGAATTGAAATCATATTCAATGAACTGAAATTATCTCCACCTGATTTTTGTTAAACTGAAATAATTCTATTGAATTGAAATCATATTCAATGAACTGAAATTATTTTACTAACCTTTAGTTATTTTTATTTAAGCTTTTTTTTAATATTATTTTATATTATATTTGTTCATTAAAGTTATTGATTATTACTGAATTGAATTTGTTTTTACAACTTTTCTATTATATTTGTTTTTTAAAGTTATTGGGTTTTTCTAACCTGAACTTAATTTTAAAGTGCTAAAATTATTTTTACTTAATAGAATTTATTTCTACATAATATTATTATTTTTCTTAAGTGATAAAAACAAAGCCTAAATATATTCATTTGGTACTTGTTAGAATTATCTCAAGAATTTGAAAATACATTTTTCGAATGTCAACCTTTTGTAATTTATACTTCGGGTATTGTATAACTTTGGGTCGTATAAAGTCGAGTTGGGTCATTTGGCCATTTGGGGTTTGGTATACAATCGAGTATGGTTCGAATCAAGACATCTCATTTTGGGTTGGGTATTGGCCGAGACTTTTAACCATGCTTAAGTTGGGTCATTTCGGGGATCATCAGGAAACTTCTGATTAAGTAAACTTGGATTTGTTCAATTTTGGTATCGAGTCAAAAACAGGTCAACTCACTTTAGATGGAGTCAAGTCATTTTGGTTAGGTCTTCTAAGCAAGTTTAGATGAAGTTGAGACCTTGTGTCAAGTTTGGAAACAATTTGGATAAAAAAGTAATATATTACATTTCTTAATAGGAAAAATACACTTAATAATCCCAATTATTGGTGATTTACTTTTAATAATCCCAACTAAGGTTTATTATCTAGTAATCCCAACTATAGAGTTAATTTGCCTCCAGTGATCTCCTGGTCAACACCAAGTCTTACTTGTTGTAGCAGGTAACCAACTCAATCCATGTGTCATCACGTGATTGGTCTAAAATTTTTAGAAAAAGAAAAGAGAAAAAAAAAAAACAAAAATCCTCACAACCATCATCACCCTCCCCTTTCGCCTCTGCGAAGCCAGACCCAGCTCACCGATTGTCTCCCCTAACCCCTGAAAACGACTGGCGCCCTAACCCCCCTTCTTGGTCTATCTTCCTCTCGCCTTCTCCATCACTTAACGCGCCAGAAAATCAGCCTGAAATCCTAGACTCGACCCCAAATAAAAACCCCAAAATCCCAGCCTTGACCCCGAAAACCCCCCCGACCCCAAAAACTCCACCCAACCTCAACCTCAAAAACCCCCTACCCTTGCCGAAAAGTCGAAAATAGGACGAAAACTTCTAGTTCTTTAATTTAATGCACCGGTATTTCGGGAATTTAGAAGGTCGGACGACGAGTTTCGTGGATGGGAAGCGATGGCTAGCTGTTTTCCAGGGGTTAGGGAGCTGGTTGGCCGGCTGGTTTTCGGTGGGCTGGGCTAGCTTAGGGTTTCACGGTGGAGGGAGGTGGTGGTTGGGAATGTTTTTTTTTTTTTTTAAAAAAAAAAAATTAATTTTTTTTAATATTACACCAAACACTTGCTAACATGTGACTTTTAAAGAATAAATATATTAAAATTTACCGTTTTAACAAGTTACAGGTCATTGGGACCAAAAAAGGCAAATTAACCCCATAGTTGAAATTATTAGATAATAATCTTTAATTGGAATTATTAAAATGTATTTAACTTTTAAAAAAATCCGGTGTACAATAATTATTGTTCATCCATTACAAAGATAACTAAAAGTGATTAAAAGTTACCTCTGAAATGAATAAAAGTTACCTCTAAAATGAATAAAAGTAAACTAATTCAAATAAAAATTATCTACACTTTATTAATAAGGAATCACATTTTAAATGACTAAAAATCAATTATTAGCGATTGAATATAATTAAATTACCTTTATAAAACTTTTCTTGTTGTGTATTTATATAAAAATTGTATTATGTTTAAAGTTACCCAAAAACAGGCAAAAAGTTACCCTAAAATTAGCTAAAAGTTACCCGTATACTGCTTAATGTACACTAATATTAGTGTAAACCGGATGTATATAAAAAATTTTGTTTTTTTTTAACTAAAGTAGTCGTAGAGTCGTAGTTTGTATAATGGATAAAATCAATTTGGCCCCTTAATTAAACAGCTAGGTCACAGACCTAACGGTGTTGGAAAAGCTGTTGGATAGTTTGATAAATTGATACACACCGCGCGTGAATAAAAAAACCATAACAACCGCGAATACAAAACCAGAAAAAAGCAAAACACATTTTCATTTCTCATTTTTATTTTCCAGTATCCATCAATAATTCCCTTTCCCCCCTTTCTCTTTCTCCTCTCCTTTCTTTCCATCTACCCCCATAATTTCCTCCCCCCTCAATCTCCTCCTCCATCACTCCCCTCATGCCTCCTCCATAACAACTCCACTCTTTCTCTCTCCTCTAACCACCGTACTTTCTCTTTCCTCAAAACCGCCATTATCCGCCATGAAAGAAGCTTCCCCAGAATCCGACGACCTCCTCCTCCTCTCAACCCACCTTCTCACCTCTCTCCTCTCAACCCACCTCCCTCTCATCCACCACTTCAAACCCAAATGGTCTCTCATCAAATCCAAACTCCTCTCTCTCCAATCCCACCTCGCCGACTTCTCCGACTCCCACTCCCACTCTCTCTCCTCCAATTCCCTCTCCCTCTCCGTCCTCTCCTCCCTCTCCTCCGCCTTAAACGACGCCGTTTCCCTCGCCGGAAAATGCTCCGATCCCTCCTCTCTTCCCGCCGGAAAACTCCGTACTCAGAGTGACATCGACTCTTTGTCCTCCACACTCGATGGGATTAACAAAGACTGTGAGATCTTGCTTCGAAGTGGGGTTCTCACCCAAGACGCCGTCGTTTCGAGTTCTCAACAACTTCAAGGAAGGGAGGCTGTTCGAGCAGAGGTCAGAAACTTGTTGACTCGTCTTCAGATCGGAAGCTCTGTATCAAAGAACTCAGCAATGGATTCGTTGTTAGCGTTGTTGAATGAAGATGATAAGAATGTCTTGATTGGGGTTGCTCAAGGGATTGTCCCAGTTCTTGTGAGGTCACTCGATACGACGTCGTTTGAGATGAGGGAGAAAATTGTGGCGGCGATTGCTAGGGTTTCAACGATTGAGAGTAGTAAACATGTTCTAATTGCTGAGGGTTTATCGTTGTTGAATCAATTGATTAGGGTAATTGAGTCTGGAAGTGGGTTTGCGAAAGAGAAAGCTTGTGTTGCTCTTCAGGCGTTGAGTTTTAGCAAGGAGAATGCGAGGGCGATTGGTTCTAGAGGTGGGATTTCGTCGTTGCTAGAGATTTGTCACTGCGGAACGCCGAGTTCGCAAGCAATGGCGGCCGGGGTGTTAAGAAATTTAGCTCAATTTGAGGAGATTAAGGAGAATTTTGTCGAGGAGAATTCGATTCCGGTGTTGATCGCGCTATCGGCTGCTGGGACGAGCTTAGCTAGGGAGAATTCGATCGGGTGTTTGTCGAATTTGGTGTGTAATGATGAGACATTGAAGGTGTTGGTTGCAAGAGAAGGTGGGGTTGAGAGTTTGAAGAATTACTGGGATTCGACTCCGATTGGGAGGGGATTAGAGCCTGCTGTTGAGTTGTTAAGGAACTTAGCATCGTATCATCCGATTGGGGAGGTGTTGATTTTCCAGGGGTTTCCATTGAGGTTGTTGCCATTGTTGAATTGTGGGGTTTTGGCAGTGAGGATTGCAGCTGCAGGAGCTGTTTTTGAGCTCGGGTTTTGCTCGAAAGCGAGGCGGGAGATGGGGGAGAATGGGTGTGTTTCTGCTCTAGTGAGGATGTTGGATGGGAAAGCGATTGAGGAGAAAGAAGCGGCTGCAAAGGCGCTTTCAAGTCTCTTGATGTGTACCGTTAACAGGAAGATATTCAGGAAGGAAGAGAGGGGGATAGTAGGAACAGTTCAACTATTGGATCCATTGACTAAGGTTTTAGATAAGAAATGGCCAATTGCGGTATTGACCACTTTGATTCACTCTAAGAAGTGCAGGAAACAAATGGTGGCTGCCGGAGCTTGTGTTTACTTGCAGAAGCTCGTTGAGCTCGAAATCGAGGGAGCGAAGAAGCTGCTTGATTGTCTTGGCCGGGGAAAACTATGGGGCGTTTTCGCCAGGCCTTGATGATCAGAGTAATTCAGAGAAAATGAGTTCTTTTTCTTGTTTGTATGTATAATTTTTTCTTTCTTTTTAGTTTGTTTTTCTTGTTAGTTTTCTGCCTTACCACTTGATTTTTACTTACTAATTCCTTGTTCATAGTTTGTGTTTAGAATTGGTGACAAGAGAGGCAATTGTGAGTAGTAGCATTAGTATTAGTAATAGGTGTTCTAATTGTTTGAATGACCATCTTTGCTTGTAGCATATTATCTTGGTTAGTAACACATACCCGGATTGAAATTGTATCTTTTCGACTTCTTAATAAAGCGACAATATTGTTGTATCTTCATTTTGTGACCCGAAAAATGTACTCTTATTACACAAGTTTTTGTTCAATTGTTAATATACCGTATGTTATTTTCCTGATTAGATGAAGGGTATTGCTCTCGTCTGTTGTAATTTGCAGTCTTGTGGTCTATTCATCTGGATATGTTAGGTATTGAGAAAACTTATACTCCATGATACATGTGAGATTGTATATAGAAAGTATTGCTCAATCTGTAAAGTTCTCAAATGCAGTAACTTATTTATTAATGCTGATAGATGTATCAGTCAAAACCTCTCTTTGGTTGGTAGGAACTTTGTTTAGTAATCTTTTCCGATCTAGAGGTTACAGCAATACAAAACCTGTGCTCCCAACCCGGAGTCTTGTGCTTGTGCACACTCGAACTGGGAGCATTGTTCATCGAACTTGTGGTTGCATCATATAACGCTGGCTCTCTCGCCTGTGGATAATCAACCCTTACAATGAATGATTCAGGTCTTTTCGGACCCCCTTGGCAACTTTGATTAGTCAAGCAATTCAAGCAAAATTTATAGAAATAGCACCATTATTAGTATAGCTCCAATTATACAGAATTTATTCCTGTAGCTAATTAGGTTGTTGGAATAATAATTAATAATGTGTCGGTATGATAATTGAATAGAATGGAGTATAATTTAGATATTCTTGTAATGTAAGGTTTAGCAGTAGCAAAGGTGGACCAAAATCATGTGCAAGTGTCTTAAGTATAGATTACATGTGCAACAGTATATTTTCCATGCAATTTCCAACACATTAATCTTACTTTTTCTGGGTTGTTTGTACTCTACTAATACTATATAATTATGACTAAAGTATAATTAATATTGACAGTGGAAAGACAGGAATAGTAAAGTGTGCAGAAAGCTAAGGATTATGGTACTGTAATAATTGACTAAATCTTACCTGTTAAAACTACCCCTGCCTACCCTGTTGAAGAATATGCATATGAAAACGAGGAAAACGAATCATATTTTGTGGGGTCAGTAATCCAGTTTCTCACCTTGTTGTAATTATGCTTTGATTATAAAGGTGACAAAAAGGAAGCTACTAACTAATGTCGTCAATATTATTGTAATGTTTATAGGAGTTGTAATTTTCATGATGTTGATTTGCATTATTGTTGTGGTATGGTATGTGATGACTGATGAGGAAGTCGCCTTTTCAGTTATGAATTTTGACATTTTCTTTTTCTAAGGTGTTTTTGGCCATATAAATGTATTTAGTGATTTTAATATCTTCCCCCTTTCCTAATCTAACTCATACAGTAGTTTTCAAAAAAAAAAAAAAAAAAAAAAAAAAAAAAAAAAAAAAAAAAATCTAACTCATACAGTCATACTTAATATGAAGTATTTTGATAAGACATCTATTTTTCCAAGAAGTGAAAGTTTTGTATACATTAACAGTATAAGTATAAAATAAGTTTAGTCATCTCAAATCACAGTCTATTAAACCAGTCTGGTCAATGGATCAATCGATGTCATCCTGATGAGAGCTCGGTACAACCCAATTCAAAGGCGGGTTGTGCCCAGGTTGAAATGCGGCCCACGTGCTCACTCAAATACACATTTTTATATAAAAAAATTGCCCAAATCTTCTTCCCAACCCAGTCCCCCATCACCTAGCCCAAACAGTGAAGCAACTAACCCGTGCACACACGGCCTAACCTGGAACTAACCCGAACCAGTCTTGCGTCAATGTCCAACCCAACCTGGATCTGCTCGCTGGCTAGTATAAATATTTGCAACTAATATAGGAGTATGAGTATCTACTATTAATTAAAACAAATTCATACTTCGTGTATCATAAAACAAACCCTTGTGTCTTCTTATCAAAAAAATCTATTCTAAATGTTAATTTATCTACTGAATCTCAGAAACTAGATAAGACTATAATCTTCCTTCAATGCTATTCCTTTTCCAAGGAGGAAAATGAGATTAATATATAGCTTCTAACACACAATATCAATACTATAATAGTCCAAAAATCACCCAAGATAGACACATTCTCAGTCTCACAGATGCTCTCCATTACGTCCATGGCTCAGTCAACGTTCTATAACGCCGTTGACCTATCATTTACGATTACAATACTCCATAAACAACGCTAGTCTCACATGAATGCTTCTAGAATGCAATAATCTATATGAAAATGCAACCTAAGCAACATTAATATACACTTATCAAATCACAATATGAAGCTTAATTAGCCCCATTGAATAAGATCAGATTTGTTCTGACTTCGGATTCAGGGCAGGAAATTAGTTATATTCACGGTCAGACTGACTTGGCTGTAGGAGAATGAATGGAATATTTGATGTGTAGGAAGCTTAATTACTATAGGAATGCCTCTAATCAACAACTGCCCAAGCGAATACGCTATTGTTATTTATTCAGACTTGCTTCTGTATTATTACACACCGCGTTTATTTTATTGATTTGCTATGCAAAACACAATTTTCGTAGTTTTTGACCTGTACACTGCATAACTTGTTCTGTTTATCAAAGAAGTTAATTAGATTAGTAGCTCATATACAATTAATTGTAATGCCTTAGCATGCCACGACTTATCCTGATATCGCGTATGCTGTGTATTGTATATGTTAGGAAATAAGATGTTGTAACCATGAAAATAATAAAGAAATTAGGGCAAAAATACAATACTCCATTGTAGATCTCACAAAAGTTGTGACGCGTTTTACGGCTGCCCTAGAAGCGTATTTCGCCACCACCGGTACGAGGCTCTCAGTGACGAATGCTCCCCAAGGGTAACACAGCTACCTTCCAACTCCGTACCCCGATTGGAAGGTTGGAATTATTTCAAGAACTGCTCAGATCTCTATAGGAATGGTTTTGTGTTTATTGTGTTTTGGGTTTTCACAATACTCTGTGATTTTCTGTCTCTATAAAAAATAATAGCTTAAGGGTATTTATAGGTTATGAAAAGGAATCAAGAATAAGGAAACAAAACCCGGCCAAAACGCGGTTCCCGAAGCTTTGCAAGGTCCGCCCGGTCTGCCAAGGCGAGTCCGCCCTACCGGGCGCGACAAGCATAGCTCAAGAACCCAATTTTAGGCTTTGCCTGGTCTGCCCGGGCAAGTCAGCCCTACCGGGCGCGAGGGGTAAAAAATTGATACGGAGAAGTGGGAGTTCTACGAAAGTACGGAGTTAACTAGTTTGATGAATAGCCTACTTCTCTTCGCCCCACCCCCAGGGCAAGCAAGAAAAGAAACTTATCATTAAACATAGCTTAATACAATCGAATCTTTCGACTTGCATTACTCCCAACAATCCCCCACAAATGCAATCGAACATGAGATCTAGAAATCTGAGCAGTAAATGAAAGGATAAGTGCATAAGTGAAATAACCCATAAGGATTGAACTAACACATTAGTGGAGTGGGGTGTTCAACATTCTATAGAGTATAAATTGAACTCCTAAGACAATTGAAAGAACCCGACACCACACACTTTACCTTTAGAAGCTTGAAATAATTCCGCGTCCGCATGAAACGTCATACGAGGCCAACTTTCCCTTGGATTTCTAGTGAGTGTTGTTAGGAACCTACATAGATTCCATAGGAGGATGCCAACCCTGCTCACTCACATAGGTGTCCCATCTAGTCTATATGCCCCATAGATCACCCAAAAGGGATATGAAACATTAAGGGCAACGTCCAACCTATCCATTGGTGTATCCATCAAGTCCAATTATTTGGACTACTTATAGAAGCTATGGATACATCAAAATACTGATGTTTAATCTCACAATCAAACACATAGGCGCATCTATCTAGGCTTCCTATAGTTCGACTCCTTCTCGGATGACTATAAGGCTAGATGCATTCAACATGAAGCTCATGTGAATCTATCAAGTTCTCTCATAAAACCACCCAATACGGGCTATAGATTCATCATGAACAATAACGTTCATCTCATAGATAAATATTGGCGGTACGTCTATCAAGTCCTTCACAATAGGACCACCCAATTCGGGCTATAGACATATTAAGAGCACAAGCTCATCCTCACAACTAATTGCCATGGGAATGACATACCACGAGGATTTTTAGCTCATTCCCTTCGACAAACTCTTACCAAGTCATACTTTATTCCTTATTTAAGGAATTGTATGGTTCTTCTCTAGCTTTACATACTCCAACCAGAGTACCATTTCCACAAGCCATGTCTTACTTTGTCACTACCTCCATAGTTCCTGACAACACACACAATGACACTTGTGAAAAATAATGTAGAGAACATGAGGATCAACTTACTCCCACAATGGTCCAACTTCCAGAGTTCATTTTGCAATAACTCATATTCTTGACACTTATCATCCCTAGCAATGATCCTTGCTTCCAACTGGATAGTGTATCACATTTTTGCTTTGCAAATAACTCAAAATAAACAACCCATAAACATGTAAAAATATACACTGATAGGGCAATCATATTTTTTGTTGTTTTACTTAACCTTTATCCCCTGCATTGCCCCAACTTTAACAACGATTGGACGATGCTGTCTAGATAAATTAAGTGAACCAACAAATTTCTTTTTGCAAAGCTACATCATGTCAAGAATAATATGTTACAGCAATTAACTTGCAAATCATTAGCATATTGAAATAAACATCAAGGCTAATCTATACCCAACAACTCTGGTTTCAACATGACCAATATATTAACCAAATCAAATTCTCTACATAGTGATAATAAGCTCAATACATACCTTGGCCGATTCAATGATCTTACCATCTAGAATCACACCATTCAACTCATTATCTCGTACTTTCATCTTGGCATAGATAAAAATTAAGACCTTAAATCTCAATCAATCAGTACATGTGTAATCAATGACATACGATTAGACTAGAATTTGACTAACATCAATGCTCATCATAATAAACACACATGTAGTACATCATTACATTCGCATGTCAAGAATGAATAACATTTGACATAGTTTGGGTACTTACATTTGACCCCCACATGACTTGTCTAGTCCACTCACCACATTAACCGCAAAAGTTAATTTAATATATGAAGGTTATGCCTCATACCTTGAGTTGTCTCATATAATTGCATCACTAACAAACACCGTGATTTCTAATCAATCATGTTAGGAAGCATACGCAACCTGACTGCAAAAGTGACAAGCTCATAATACAAGTGAGTGATAAATTGGGTCAATACCAAACTTACATGTATATCGTGAAAACACAATATCTTACCCTCAATCCCTTCCAAGGTATACCAAAACCTTACAAGTTTCCTTGAAAGGCACTTATAACCGAAGGACATTCCATGGTAAGGTAAGACATATAAATCTCAAGCATAAGACTCCACAAGAGCTTGATTTTATGTTCACATATTTCTTCTCTTCAAACTAGTTCAAGTAACATTTATCATGGTATGTTCATATGGTTTCGGATTCCTATCCACCATTACTGGAATACCAAGAAACAATCCATCTAAACCTTTCAAACATGAAAGTAAACACAAGACGGAACTCAACTAGTTCATGCTTTAGCCATAATACTTACCTTAGTTGATCCACTCATCAACTACATTGTTCAGACCAAAGCTTAAGAAACAAAGGAAACACCCACATGATCAACAAGGTTAATACATGATATAAATCTTACTTGAGAAACTTCACATACATGATTCGTCATATCAAAGTCATCTAGAATTAAACACCTAACTCATAGTTCAACATACATTAAACTTGTGAACTAGAATAAGTAAAGCAGCAAAGATCTCATTACTTTCATAATTTCCAGTATAACCTGCTTTAATTGATTTTCATATATCATTAGCATAACTCAATATAGACCACACATTAGGTCCTTTAAATTAATAACATAAATGTTTATGCTAAAGAAACACACATTCCACATGAATGAATTAAGAAAGGATCACTCACATGAGTGAATAAATAAACAATATTAGATTCAACATGTTTAATAATCACAACATCGCAGAGTCTCAAATATAAACTGCGAAGCATTATAAGGAACATCTCACCTTCCATAAACACCCCCACATAACAAGCATTTAGGTTATCCCATATATAACCAATCTGATAATCAAGAGGGGGGCTAAATCACATTTTGTGAGACAAACCGTTAGCCAACAAAGAGAGTTGAAAACAATAAATTGCTACCTCCATATAAATTTCAGTAACCAATCATTGAAACACTAGCAATTTAAATGGCCTCTCCAAACAATAGGATCATATCTCCAATTATTTCATCGTGGATTTGTTCTCTGAAAACAACCTTAACCTAACTCTTTTAGGCTTTGGTCGAGATAACACATTTACTTCTGCTATGTATAAACTTAGGAGATATAAACAATTGTCTCACTTAGACCACAAAAGAAGTTATGCTTCACGCAAACATCAACAAGTAGAATAACAACACATTCACAATTCTACTCAATCTCCAAGTCTAACAATTTAACTAAGTACTCATGAATTAAATCATATAATCCAAATACCCTTCAAGTCGAACTCACAATTGATTGACTTAGTTAAATTAAACAAACATAATATCCATTTGCCACTAGATTAGGAATAAGATTAACACTCAAGAATAATCGAGAGTCACACAAACAAGTCCTAATCAATCAATGCACCTAATCGATGGATAATATACAACATAATAAGCAGAAGTACGGGACTTTTAACAAAGGTAAGGTCCACAACTAAATAATAAGCATTCAAGGAAATCATCAAGTATTGTCTGCTTATTACAGCAAACCCCTACTAACTTTCTAGTATGATTTAAGCTTTCATAAGCTCCAAAACCCCACATAACACATTATATTAATAATATAAGTATCACATATGTGAGCACACAAAATTAATCATGTAAATAATTTAAAGCTCAAAGATAAAAGGTGAGTGGAGAACTTCCCTGAGCATAGCAGTTCTCTCGATTATGAATGCCACTGTATATAGCTTCAACTCTTTAGTACCATGATATGCAAAATCTGCAATACCCGCCAAATTCGACGACCGCAACCTAACCCCGCGCCCGCAGCCCAAACCCGCGGGTGAAACCCGCGCTCAGCTACCAAGGGTCGATGGTTCTGCCAGCCCGCGGCTAAATTCCGCTCCCATCAAGAAACTTCGATCTTAGGCGTAGATGCGGCAACGAGGGCTTGACTCCGTCTTTGGCTCAAACATAAGCACCGGTTGCAATACAAAACTCCAACATACCATCAAGCAGTGGTACCAAACATGCCGATCTCAAATTCTCATAAATAATGTGCTGCAAATACACTGCTAGCCACCACATGACTAAGCTATTGACAACAATCTGACAATCTCTTTACACTCAATCACTCATACTCATAAGATAATCCAACATTGGACATCCACTATCACGTTATTCCATGATTGATAGTGATTAATCACATAATCAAGATCCAATGAAACTTATGAGACGTAGCAGTATTGAAGTCATCAAGGTTCCTTTGACAATCGAAAATATAAGAAATCATCACGATAATTCCCAATCCCCTATTAATTGAACTTACTACGAATTTTCCTAATTAACTTCCAATAGACAACTCTTGCATCAACCGAAATAAAGTTCAACACAAAGAGGTCTCAATTCATGGTAACAACAAAAAAATACGCTTCTAGATTGTTAGGAAATAAGATGTTGTAACCATGAAAATAATAAAGAAATTAGGGCAAAAATACAATACTCCATTGTAGATCTCACAAAAGCTGTGACGCGTTTTACGGCTACTCTAGAAGCGTATTTCGCCACCACCGGTACGAGGCTCTCAGTGACGAATGCTCCCCAAGGGTAACACAACTACCTTCCAACTCCGTACCCCGATTGGAAGGTTGGAATTATTTCAAGAACTGCTCAGATCTCTATAGGAATGGTTTTGTGTTTATTGTGTTTTGGGTTTTCACAATACTCTGTGTTTTTCTGTCTCTATAAAAAATAATAGCCCAAGGGTATTTATAGGTTATGAAAAGGAATCAAGAATAAGGAAACAAAACCCGGCCAAAATGCGGTTCCCGAAGCTTTGCAAGGTCCGCCCGGTCTGCCAGGGCAAGTCCGCCCTATCGGGCGCGACAAGCACAGCTCAAGAACCCAATTTTAGGCTTTGCCTGGTCTGCCCGGGCAAGTCAGTCCTACCGGGCGCGAGGGGTAAAAAATTGATACGGAGAAGTGGGAGTTCTACGAAAGTACGGAGTTAACTAGTTTGATGAATAGCCTACTTCTCTTCGCCCCACCCCCCATCCTGCCAGAGCAAGCAAGAAAAGAAACTTATCATTAAACATAGCTTAATACAATCGAATCTTTCGACTTGCATTACTCCCAACAGTATATTGTATAGGTAGCGTCTCAGTTTATGCAGTGTCTGCTACAGAGAATGCAGGGTACTATGGATCATGTATTGTCTAGAACTCTAAATAATATAATTGCTAGGCACGAAGTCTCTCACTAAGTTATGGCTCTAATTTAGTAATTTGTTATCTTGGCGCTACAAGAACCAATCTGCAATGGCTCCAAGTTATAAATCGCGCAGTTGATGCAGCTTGTACTAATGCAGGAAGCTTGTATCTGAATGGTTTTTTTTTTTTTTTTTTTTTTTTTTTTTTTTTTTTTTTTTTTTTTTTTTTTTTTTTTGTCAAATGAGTGATAGTGTGAGCACTACACATCTATAATACTCAAACCAATATTGAGCAAATTGTGATCAACTATCATGCTGATCTTGTCATTAATTTACGCATTGGTTACATACCTTGCAAGTACATACAGAGTGGTGTAATTGTATACACAAAAACTTACATGAAATCGGGCTCACCACATTATTATTTTGAATACACAGTACAAATGATATTTATGAGAATTGTAACATGGTTGATGAGGGGTAATCAATATAGAGTACTACGTAGTACGTACGTGTTAACTTATAGAGTATTCTAGATTTCTAGTAGTCACTAATCACCGGTCTCACTTGAGACTAGACGATTAGTGTGTAATAGTAGTAGACTACTAGATCAAGTTTGGGCGAACCATTCATCCTACAATTGTGAAATTCTCATTCATACATAATTAAAGTTGCCTAGTTGGTATAAATATATGACACATTAGTTTTGATCAAGAAAATGAGGTTGAAAATTAATGGCAATCGGCAAACATACTACTTGACATAAAAAAGGTAAATAGAAGTTTTTGATAAAACAAAGCTGTTAATGCTAATTTAGTATAACTTCTTTGGTAGACCTAAATTTCATTTGAAAGGAAGGAAAATATGGACAATACTACTTAGCTATAGCCTATAGGTCTAATAAACGACACAGTACAAGAATGTAACAAACATCAGTTGTGCTTGCTCTTAGTTTTATGTGCTGCATTCTCCTTTTCTTTTTGTCTCGACTCTCGTTTTTTCTTCTAAAACTGTATGAAAAAGTTACGGGGTAGATGCATGGTCAAAAGGTGGGCTAACACTACAACAAATAAGATTAAAGAGGGCAATTTAAATCGCCCTCTTAGGTTACAATTTTGCCCTATTAGGCAAAGATGGCGATTTTAAAATCGCCCCTAAGTTGCCCTTTTAGCTTCGTCCTATTAGCTTCAAAGGGCAACAATAATCTTTCGCCCTCTTTGTTAAAGATCAAAGAAGGCAAAAAATTTCGCCCTCTTTGATCAAAATCAAGGAGGACAAAGCTTTTCGCCCTCTTTGATCAAAATCTAAGAGGACAAAAATTTTAGCCCTCTTTGATCAAAATCTAAGAGGACAAAAATTTTCGCCCTCTTTGATTAAAATCTAAGGGCAAAATTAAAGTCGCCCTCTTTGTTCATTTTTTAGTTTTAAAAAAAAAAAGAATTCTAGGAGGGTACATTAAGGAAAAAAAAGGTCTTAATAGGCATATAAACAAAAGTATTAACCAAGTTTTTATAAATAGCAAATAGCTAAGCCAAAGAGTACTAAAATTTAATAATGTTTTTTCTAGGACATGAACTATCAAGCAATCTTCTCATTCTTGCAGCTTCTAGCATCCCCTTTTTTTCCATCTGTAATGCAACCCGCCTTTTGGTGTCCATCTCCAAAACATCAGCACATTGACTTGATCCCCTGACTGCAAACTTGACAGATTCAGGTAAGAAACAGTTTCGAGTCCTGCAGGTTTTAATGTGACTGTTAATCCTCTTCAAGAAGAAAGGGAAAGTTACAATTCGCAAAAGTCAAGTTCAAGAATAAGATACTAAAATGGAATGTTTGATGGACTGATGGACTACTGCCAAAATAACAGCATGTAGAAAAGCATCAGTCTGAGCACCATGTCTTATACCTACTGAATTATATAAGAACCTGTCCAAGATTCCTCTAACATAATAAGCTAACATAACCATGGCATGAAAATGCATCCACATGACAATTTTATATAAAGAGTAAGCTAGAAAATATTACCTCTATTAAGCATTAAGGCCAATCTTCTCCACGACTAACCGAAGCTTTTGTTCTAGGTCATCTTGTTTCTTCTTAGAAACTTCCAATTCAGCTCGCATCATATTATTTTCATTTTGTAGTTATTCCTAGAAAATCACATGCATACATATTACCAGGAAGATAAAAAAACAACATAAGGATTTCCATTAGAAAAGATAAACGTAGCTGTATATGAAAATATAAAATGAAGATAAAAGGAATAAAAGATATAAAGAACTCATCCCTCAAAAAAAAAAAGATATAAAGAACTCTCTTCAGGCTACGAGAAACAAGAAGGTTATAAATTCAGTGCACAACTAGGATGAATAATTAAGGACAATCAGGAGATTAATTCAACTAGGAGTTTGTGTTGCAATCAATATTTGATCAAACTGGGAAAAATTAAAGCAGTTATCTGTGACTAGCCTATAGCAACAATGGCCATGTCTATGAAGCATATATGAAATTCTATTAGCATAAGGTGAAGCAACCATATTGGCTCACCAATATTCGGCAATAGGAAAAGCCCAAAAACTCAGCTCTAGCACCTATTCATAAATAAAGCAATCATAACATATTTACCTTTTCTTTTTTTAAGTTGTTGAGACTCTTGAGAGGTAGACCCTTCAGGCTCATTCATTGTTCTTTTCCCTACAAAATGAAGGAAACAAAAATAGAAGATAGAAACAAAACTATAAACAGTAACATAATATGTAGATCTAATTTGCAATGTAAAATACTAGATAATGCAATTATTGGCACCAAAAACATTTAAACTCAAGGACTAACAGGAAAGTGCAACCAAGCTTTCTGGGAGAAATCAAGGACTGACTACAATATGCTTCAGGAATGTAACTAAACACTACAATTCTCAGCATAAGCATCATAATTCATAATTACATTAAAGTTAATTAGTCTCAAGCTAATCCCAAATCAGATAATCTATATAATTCTATCATCAGATTTCATATGGCCAAAGAGTAGATTCTTAACTTTTTGAGGGGAGTATGTCGTAAGATGTCCCAACCTACCCGATAATCGAGCAATACGGAAGTATACCCTGAAACAGGTGCCTCAACGGACAACTTGGGAACGCAAACATGGGTTATAATTCTATGCCACTCACTGCATAATCAAATGACAAAAAATCTTGATTGAGAGGATCTCTTCTGAATATTTAATTTGATTTTTCGATTTTTCTTAGTTGAATTTCTAATAGGGGTTCTTGTAATTTTCAGTATATCTGTTCTAGATTGTCACACACTAGTGTTAAAAAACAAGTTCCTACAAAGATCACATGTTTATCTTCTAATAAGCCTATGAGACACTTCAAACATACATTAATGAGTAAGCTCTATGGTTTTAAAAATCTACCATGATCAATTGCATACATGTGGACACAATTAAAACACAGAACGACAATTACAAGACTGTCGAAAACATCAAGATAAATATGCTTTCATGTTTACCAAATCATAAACTAGCTCTGAACATAACATGGATACCTAAAAGAGCTTCACAATCAATAAGTAATCTATAATCAAACTGCAATCAACTACTATTATACATTACATTTTGAAATCAGATAATGAGGTAATTAATCATATACTTATCTCCAATGATCATGCATCATAAACACCTGTTCATACAAAACAATTTTTTTTTTTTTTTTTTTAATCAACAGTCTTTGAGGCGTTTCATCAAACACTTTATCTGCAGTATTTGAAAACTATAAACTTTTCTTTTTTCCCGGATTCTTTAAGGCATTTCATCAAACACTATATTTGCACCATTCCGGATTATTTAAGTATGATTATTATAGGTATTTCATCAATTTTTTAACAGGCAAAATCGAAATCTTGCTTGACTCGACAAAAGTAGCATGCTATACAACAAATTTCGAATCCAAGCAAAAATTTAAATTTCAATAACAAAAACATTCGAGTAATTAACTAGCATTAAACCCTAGATTGTGAAATTGATAGTCCAGGCCATAATTTAATACTACCTGAGAAGCCGCTTCAATGGAGGAGAAAGCTCAAAGTCGCTTCAATGGAGGATCGAGAAAGCTCAAATTCGCTTCAATGGAGGATCGAGAAAGCTCAAATTCGCTTCAATGGAGGATCGAGAAAGCTCAAACTCGTTTCAATGGAGAATTCGAAGTGTAGTTTTCGTATTGTGAGGAGAGAGAGGGGTTTTACAATTTTTGGTTTTGGGGTTTGTTTTACGGAGTACAGTAGAAGTATTTGTTTATTTGTGCAAGAAAGGACGACAACTACTATTAATTTGCCCCCTTATTGTTTATCAAAGAGGGCGATTGTTGAAGTCGCCATTATTGTTTGATCAAAGAGGGCGAATTTTATTTAGTCGCCCTTATTGATCAGCTATAAGGCAACGACCAAATTTTCGCCCTTTTTGATAACAATATAGTAGGGCGATTCTATATGCCCTATTTGATGGTGTTTAAGAAGGCAAATTTAAAGTCGCCCTCTTTGTCAGAATAAAATCGCCCTCTTTGATCTATTTTCTTTTAGTGTAAGGGTCGTGCATGAATATTGTTTTCAATGTTAAAAACGATTTAGATAAGAACTTGATGGGTTGATCAATTTATTTTTGACCATTTTATAATATATACATTTCAAAAATTATTACTTCCTCTATTTTTTATTTAAATGTTTAATTTTTTATAATGTAGAACTTTGTATTGTTTAATGATACCAATCTAAATATAAATTTTATTATTCATTGAGACGATTCCAACAAGTATCAATAAGAATATTACGTCGTATTATTTAGTAGTATATATCACTAATAATGGTTAAAATAGGTTAGGTGAATACTGCTAAAATGTTTTGCTGAAAAAGTTAAAAGGGAAACCTTCCCTCTTGTAGCACATAAGAGTAATTATTACTCTTTTGTAAGGGAAACTTAAATTTGTTCATAGAGTAACCCAAAATCATGTGTTCATTTGAGTAATCCATATTTGCCAAGCCATTTGATCATTGTATTAACAACATTACTCCTCAATTAATGAAAAAGTGGTCATACCATCAATTAATGATGTGCGTAATCACATATAACAATTTGTGTTATATAATATGGTTTTTATCGACTAAACAAAAATGTGTTTCATAATACTAAAATGAGAAAGTTAGGATCATTGCATCTTTATGATACAATTTATTGTAAGTTTAGAATACAAATATTCTTAGCTAGATATGCACCATAAACTTTAATAACCTCTTTAGCTAATGCAAACATGAACAATATCAATTATCACTTTAACTTTGTCTCGAAGACTATGCATCTTCCGAAAGGAATGGGAGGACTTGGTATTTGTAGTTTGGCCTTGCTCCTTTAACAAAGCTCACCTTATGAAGCAAGCATGGAGAATTAGTCATAATCCTCAATTGCTTCTCTCAAAAGCATGTACATCTAGGTTATAGTCTCCGCTTCACAAGGGGTGTCCGATTACTCCTCAGCACAAGAATTATTCATGGGGCATGAGGGGTATTGCAAAAGCGACAAACATGCTAGTCAAGGGTTGTAGTTGAAAGATAGGGAATGGGAAGTCTATTGTGGCAGGAAAGGATAGTTAGATGGCGGGTAAGGTCCCAGAATTGAAATCTCATGTGACTTTATTGCAGGCGATGAGATGGAAAGCAAGTGACTTTATGGCACCCCTTGGGTGTAGGTGGAATCAGGCGAAGCTACTTTCTTGTTTTAAAAGGGATGATGAAGCGGCAATTACGTGCTTGGAATTACTAGATCAGGAGTTAGAGGACTATATGTACTGGCAGCATCATAGATGAGGAAGTTTTACGGTGAAAACAAGATACGCTTTTTTGAAGCATCTAGAGGGTTGTATTTCGTTGGAGGGTATGAATGACTTTTTTGGTCTTGTGGTCTCTCAACATTCTACCTAAACGGAAGATGTTCATGTGGAGGGTGTTATCAAACAGGATTGCAATGAAGACTAATTTGGGACGGTGGGGAATGGATATTGAATTATTGATACATTTTGTGATTTGTGTCAGTTCCAAGAGGAAGATTTTTTACAACATCTTTTTAGCACTAGGTGAAAAAACAAAATTGACACCAGTTCAAAACCCCTAATGCCACCGATTTGAACCGGTGCCAATGTGGGGGGTGCCAATAAGTGGTTTAAAAAGGCACCGGTTCAAACCGGTGCCAAAACTCAAAATTGGCACCGGTTAACCGGTGCCAAAAAATCCCAAAAAAATTTAATTCACTGTTTTTGGCACCGGTTAACCGGTGCCAAAAGTGTCTTAATGCCACTGGTTAATCGGTGCCAAAAGTGCCAAAAAATTAATATTTTTTTATTTTATTTATTTATTTATTTATTTTTTTACTTAAAAATTAAATAAACTAAATATAATCAAATCTGTTCAATATATATATAATCACAATATAATCAAATCTGTTCAATATAAATCGAACATCAAAATCAATATAATCAAATCTAGGGGTGTCCATAATTCGGATTAAAACCGAAATCCAATCCAATCCAAACCGAATTATCAATTCGGATCGAATCCGAACTTTAAATCGGATTGAGATTTTTTGAAAATTCGGATTTTTGGATTGGATCGGATTGACCCTAATTGGATCCAATCCAAACCGAAAACCTAATTGTAAAATTAAGCTTGTATAAATATGGATTTCTTTGTTTTTTGAAGTTTAGCTCAAATACTTGCTATGACATAAAATAAATTAGGGGTACTTTGTATTAATTAACTAATGACTTGATGTTGAACTACTTATTTTAATCATGATTTTGAAGACTTTTATATGTATTATAGCTTTATTTTTATGATCGTATTAGGCGCTAAAAAATAATGTCTTATAATTCGGATTTTCGGATCGGATCCAAATAACCGAATTTTAATTCGGATTGGATCGGATTGGATTGGGAGAGAAATTCGGATTGGATCGGATCGAAAAATTGAAAACCGAATTATAGTTCGGATTTGGACTAAATCCAAACCGAAAACCGAACGGACACCCCTAATCAAATCTGTTCAATATATATATAATCAAAAAAAATTTACATTATAGATCAATAAAAAAAGTACAACATATAAATCAAAAAAAAAAAGTACAACATATAAATCAAAAAAAAAATTACAATATAAATCAAAAAAAAAATTACAACATCACAATAAAAAAAACCCCATACAACATCTAAATCAATATACTTGCATCTTGATTCTTCGATTTAAGATCTAAATCCATGTACCTGCACCAATTAAAACAACCAAAATAAATCGATTAAAATGATTTAATTAAGCTATGAAAAAATTTAAAAAAAAAACCCAGAAAATCGAAAAATAAAAAAGAAAATCAGTTGAAAAGAAAAAAAAACCCAGAACATCAATTAAAAAGAATTGAACCCAGAAAATCAGTTAAAAAGAAAATCGAAAAATAAAAATATAAAAAAAACCCAGAAAAAAATTCGATTAAAATAAAAACCAAAATCGAAAATTAGAAGAAAAAAAACCCAGAAAATAAAAAAAAATCGAATTTAAATCGAATAAAATAAAAAAAAATTGATTAAAATGGGCTAAAACGATTAAAATAAGTTAAAAACCCAGAAATTTAAAAAATTCGAATTAAAATAAGTTTAAAGATCGATTAACCAAACCAAAAAATCGAAAATTACTTAAATAAATGAAATTAAAATCTATTAAAATAAATACAACATTTGAATGTCAGTTAAAAACCAAGAAAAAAAATCGAATTAAAATTAAGAAATTATACCCTAACCTTGTTCATGCATGTGTTTGTGGTGGAATAAACCCATAAAAAATTCGAACAAACCCGGAAACGATTCGAATAAACCCAAAAAAAATTCGAACAAACCCAGAAAAATTTCGAGAAATTATACCCTAACCTTGCTCATGCATGTGCTTGTGGTAGATTAAACCCATAAAAAAAATTCGAACAAATAAACCCAGAAACAATTCGAATAAACCCATAAAAAAATTTGAACAAACCCAGAAAAATCAAGAGAACAAGAAAGGGATTGAAAGAGAACGAGAAAGGGATTGAAAGAGAACGAGAGAAAGAGGAGATGAGAATGAGAGCAGATGAAAGAGAAAGGGATGAGAGAGATAATGAGAGAGCGGCGAATATTACTATAAGTGAGTTTTGTGAGTGAAATAGGGTTTGAGTGGTATATAAATGGAATAAAAAAAAGGCCTTTTTTTTTTTTTTTTTTTTTTTTTTTTTTTTACGGATTGGCACCGGTTCAAACCGGTGACCTTTGTATTTTTGGCACCGGTTTGAGCTGAACCGTTGCCATTTCTCTTTGTCTAAAAACTCGCTCATTTTTAGGCCGATTTTTGCCACCGGTTTGGCTTGAACCGGTGGCATTTAGGGGTTGCCTTTTTGTATTTTTCTACTAGTGTAGATTTTACACATCTGCAACAGATGCATGGAGGGGTGGCTACAAATCTACTAAGAAGCAAACGCAGACAAGTCAATTATTGACTGGATTTTGTACGATATCCGCCTTTTTATTGGCCAGGATGGAATTAGTGGTCATAGAAGTACTTTCTTTATAGCCACACTTTATGGGGGTTGTGGCCGGGGTTCCTTGGTAAAGTACTGTACATTAGTCGATTTATCAACAAATTGACAATGACTTGTGAGCCAATATTTAAAAAATTGAAAAAGAGGAAAAACATGAATGGGACGATCAATGCCAAAAGGCCTTTGAGAAAATCAAAGAATATCTCAAAAGTCCACCAGTTTTAGCACCACCAGTACCCAAACTACCTCTTAGGCTACATATCACACATTCACAAACACGCCCACAGGGGCCGTTAGCACAAGAGGTAGAAAAAGTCGAGCGTGCAATATATTACATAAGTAAGAAATTCATCCAATAATATGAAACAAAATATAGCACCTTAGAAAAAACTTGTTTGGTTATGATATTAATAGAACCTAATGGTGTGGGTTTAACCACTAGAATAAGTCAAGCATAAAATGAAGAAAACCATAAAAACCACCAAAAATTCAAAGCATAATTCAAAGGAAATTGGGAACGAGAATCGATCTTGAATGACATAAAGTCAACCAAAATCATAAACTAAAGGATATAATAATAAACATACTATTGTAGACACCTAAAAATGTCTCCCCAAAACCAAACCCGATGATGAACACCTTTCACCGTCATTATTGGTTGGGTTGAGTATTTAATGTTTGGAGTACTTAAATCCATGTTCTATCCAATACATTTCATAAACCAATCCATTTCCTAGCTCATTTCCCTAAACCATAACTTATTTTTCACTTTTCGTGTCCACATCGCAAAACCGAGAGAAACTGATTTAGCTTAATAATTTTGATTCAATTATTATTTTGTTAGATAGGAATTGAAATAAGATTTTC